GCCCCCCGGCAAGGTGCAGGTGTCCTGTTGGACGTCACAGCCCCCCGGCAAGGTGCAGGTGTCCTGTTGGACGTCACAGCCCCCCGGCAAGGTGCTAGACGAGGCTCAGGGACTTGCCGCACTCTTGCTTCCTCCGAGCTGACTGCAGCTTAGCGAGGTGGGGAAAGCCTTAAAGAAGGGTAGGAAGATGGGCGGGAAATGGGTGATGGCCAGGGGCAGGAGGCGCCTGGAGTGTAGGTGAGGATCTGGCACGTGTTTGCTCCTAGAGTCAGCACGGATAGAGGGAGGGCTGGGCCCTGGGGCTCGTCAGAAAGGACACAGACATGGCCAAGGAAGAAATGGGGAGAACAACATCCCGTCCAGGTGCTAAAACCGTCTGATGAGTCAGAGCCGGGCCTGGAGAAAGGGGACTGATGGAGTGGGAGAATGCCAGCCGGCCTGGGGGTCAGAGGGCCGCAGTGGAGGGCAGCAGGGCTTAGACAGTCCAGACATGTGCAGAGGCCCTGGCCTTCCGTGCGCACAGAGCCGGGAGGGCGCGGGAGGCTGTGAGCAGAGGTGACGCGGAGAGGAGACAGGTAGGTTTACTCTGAGGGAAACTCACGCTCCAGACGGGAGTGCGAGCGTCCAGCCAGGTCCCGGCCTCGGTGGAATGTTCTGGGCCAGAGGCGCAGCAGCTGCTTCCTTCGCCTCTTCCTGTACCCCCCCCCCGGCGTGGCTTTCCCCGTGGCCTCTACTCCCCTGAAGCACGCAGGGCCCTGCCCTGGCCACGGGCCGGGGGGGCCCTCGCCTGGCGCCTCCTGGCCTTCGGGGCGCTCCGTCTGGGGGCCGCGCTGCCAGCATCTCTGCTGCTTCTCTTAGCATCTGCTCATCTCTCTCCACGTGCGCCGAGTTCCTGCACGCCTGTGACTCTCCTAGTGAAAACGTCTGAATTCCTACTTCTGTGGCTTTCGCTCTCACCCTGAGGGGAGAGTGGTGAGAATGGGAGGAGAAACGGACAGGGGCTTTAAAGCATTGTATAGGTCCTAGGAGGTGTCCCCGAAGCTAAGCTGAAGCCATTTTGTGGGTGCAGCCGTAAAACCAAGTTTTTAAGGACAAGCCTTTGACTGTCTGCCGTGATCTGGGCCTGGGGTTTCACCGTAGGGCGATGTGGCGGTAACTGCTGTCACCTGGGAGTTAGAGAGCAGCAACATCAACCACAGAGAGAGTGAAGATTGGCTGGCTAGGGTTTGAAACCCTCCTGCCACCAGTAAGCGCCCCGTCAGGCATCGTCTGCTCGCTGCAAAAGCGTGAGCGCCCGTGAGCACTTCTGAAGAACTCACGACCAAGTGAACCTCCCCTGCCCACCCTGGCGCTGTCTGGCTGCACCCGGGGGTGCATCTGCTCCAGCGGGGTGGGTACCCTTCCTACATTGCACCCCTCACCTCACACAGGAGTACTCGCGCCCAGAGGCCAGCGGAGGTGAAGCAGACTTAGTCACTTCCCCATTTTACTCCAGAGCCTAGCTCACGTCAGGTCCAAGCCTCCACTTTCTGCCCCGTGTCCCTCAGCAGCGCCTCTCCCAGAGGCGGCCCCCTCCGGTGCGGGGAGCTGTAAAGCCAGCCGGCGCAGTTAAGGAACCTGTCGTGTCTGACAGGCTGGTGGCGGCGGCCTCTGTGAGGAGAAACACGGGGAAGTACAGGCAGTGTGAGGCGCCAGGGCGAGCCAGGCTGCCTTGGCAGATAAACCTGCTGCAGGAAGGAAACACTCCTTATCAGCGCTGCATGCACGTCCACCTCGTTCCCTGCCAGCGCCACGTGGGCTGCGCCCTCCCTAACTGCTCCCTAGACTCGGCAGCTTCTCTCCACTTTGGTACTTTCATTGTTTTCCCCTGCCGAGGGCCCCCGTCCCCGTGGCTGTGTCATGTCAGCTGGGGCTGCGTGGTTGCCGGTGGCACCACTGCCCGCTGCTTTCATGCCTGGTCGGGAAAAGCTGACGCAACCGTGACATAGGAAAGGCGAATCCCAGAATCACGGGCGGGGCCGGGAAGTCCCCTGGGAGAAGGTCCAGGGTGGTGAGACGCCCCTGCGTAACCTGGGTGTGTTGTCTGCCGCACAGGTTAGCGGAGGAGCCGGGCGGCGGAGGAAGCTCGGTGAGTAGAGTTCTGTGCCCGCCCCGTGCCCAGCCCCTGCTCTTTAAGCGCCTCGTTTCCCTCCCCTTTGTTCGGTCACGCGTCCCAGCCCCGAGCAACGCTGGCAGGTGGAGAGCCAAGCGAGGCCTTCCTTGGAAGACCGCCCCGGCCCCTTCCCGGTGCCCAGCACACGTGTTGCCCCGCGCTGGGCCCAGCCCAGGCTTCAGGTGCCTCGGTGGCCCCGGTGCCAACATGCAGTTGGCAGCTAGACACTGCTGGCCCGCTGGAGTCTGGTCAGCCGGTGTCGGAGGTCACTTCCCAGGGCTGTCCCTGCCCCCTTGTTCCTGATGTCCCGCAGGCACTGTCCTTTCTCTCTGGGCCAGCACTCTAGGGCCTGTCGCCACGGCCAGCACTCTAGGGCCTGTCACCCAGCGCTGTCCTGTGCTGCAGCCCCTGGTGGGTTCCATCCTGTGGCATCATGCTGACTCCAGAAAACCCACCGAGGCCTTCCGTGGTGCCTGGCCAAGCTGCTCCTTCTCGCTGCCTCACCAAAAAGTGAAAGTGTAAATTTCCCCCAGAGAGCTTGTGACTTTGGGGATGAGTCTTTAGCATTCTCCCAGCTCAGGGCCTAACTTTTGTCTAGTCCCAGTTCCAAGATACTGCAGCTTCTAGGTGTGCTCCCTGGAAGGGAGGGGCTAAAAAGCATGGACCCCCGGCCTTTAGAAGAGCTCTTTCAGGAGCAGATGCCCTGTCCACATGAGAGCCCTCTTTAGTCCTCTCTCCCACCCTTTGTGTTTCAAGTTAGGCCTCAGATCTGCAGGCAGAAAAGCAGTGCCGAGCCCCTGGAGCCAAGAAGAGGAGCACTCCCTGGGCCTGGGTCTGGGACTTTGGGAATAGTCTCACCCCCACACACACCCCCACCCCCCCACGCCCCCATCCTCACGCTCTCCAGGCCCTTGAGCCTGAGCGGCACTGACTCAGGGATCCTGCAAGCTGGAGAAAGTCTCTCGCTGCCTGGAAATCATAGAGCCCCTGGGGCTTGGGCAGGCGTTTACCCAAACTCACTGCACATCAGACAAGGCCCTTTCCGACAGCAGGCCTAGGCTGCAGCAGCCAGCATGGAATCAGGAGCAGACTTGCCCTTCCAGAGCCTGCCAGAGCCCCTCGCCCCGAGCACAGAGGAACTGGGGATAAGGACGGGCCTATCAGGGCCACATGGCCCCCCCCCCCCCCCCCCCGACTGTGGCGGGCCAGAATCGGAGGGGGTCCACTCCTAACCTGGTCATCTGACTCTGCCTACAAAGAGCTATTAGCAACTCACCAGGAGTGGAGTCAGGCAAAGCGCAGAAGCTGTACAGCCTTTATCACAGACCCTGGGCGGGCTTGTTCCCTGGGCTCAGGACTGTAAGCCATCTCCCACCTCTGTGCCCCTCCTCAGCAACTCTGCAAACCACACCTTGCAAGCCACATTCTTCCCTGACCCTGGGACCTTAGTAACAACCCCAGAGACTGGGTGGCTCTGGAAGAGAAAGTCCCTTTCCCCAAAAGGGCATCATTTTTGTCTCAGAGTGTTAAGCTGAAGAGGTAAGTGCCCCCCCCCCGCGCCCCTCCTCCCTCCGCACCCCGGCTCCAACCGGACAGAAGTTTGCCGCCTTTGCGGAGACCCTCACGGTGCCCTGAGTGACAGCACCTCTGTCCTACACAGGCTCAGGGGACGCGGACCAAGCTGGCATCGGGGAGAGGAAGGCGGGGTCCACCCCCGGAGCCGCATTCCTGCCTGTCTTTCTGCCAAACAGCTGGACCAGGCCTGAGGCTGCCAGACGTCACCACCCGCCAGGGAGAGGGGAGCCCCAGCCCTGGGCGCGGGAGGGGCCGCGACGGGCCGGCGCAGCTGGTGGGCCTCCCTGCCCAGTCCTGCATGAACTAGCAGCACCATCACCCCCCTCAGGGCATGGTCTCATCTCTGCCACAGGAATTTACCGGGAGGTTGAAAAGAGAAAAGAAACAGCACGAGTCTCCTGTGTGTGCGCCTTGATGGAGTTCTTGCTGGCTTGCTGCCGGCGCGCTGGGGGGAGTCGGGCACAAATTCCGCCCTACCTTTGACCTTTAAAGAGCAACAGGTTTTCTTCCCTGTCTTGTGCAAAGACATTTTCAGCCCTTGCTCAGTTCTACAGACATTCACACTCTGGCCACAGTGCTAAAAATAGCCTCCTTCCTTTCTCTCACACTGGTTAGGCTTCCGCCGCCCCGTTTGATGCCGCTGCTCTGCAGCCTAGGAGGAAAGGAGGAGCAGAGAGCTCTGCACTGCTGCCCCGCGGGCGTCTCCTCCCGCGGCGAGGATTCCGCGGCCCGCCGGCCCCGGGGGCGGGAGCGCTGCCCGCGGCCGCCAGGGGGAGCGCGGCGCGGCGCCGCCCGGCTGGGGCGCCCCTCGGCTCTGGCGCACGCGATAATCAATCCCAATTCCCGGTGATTTCCATTTATTTTTTTTCCTCCTCCCTGGGCTCCAGGATGTTATTTTTAGTGAAGAACTGCTATAAATATTTATAAAGGGCAGTGACTGGAATGAAGTCAGAGGCCCCACAGCCGGCTCTCGCACCGCCTCGCTCACACACCTCTGCAGACCCCTGCCTGTTGCGCGGCCCGCAGACAACCCACAGCCAGCCGCAGACAGACACATGGGAGGGGACGCTTTCCGCCCTCCCCCTCCAGGACGCCCCCTAACCTACCTCGAGGCGCCTCACCCCATCCTCCTCCAGGTCCGGGTCGGTGTCCTGCTTCCTGGGGTGAGGGCAGGTGCATTGAGAGCCGGCTTGCTGCATTTGAGGGCAGGAGAGAAAATGGGAGGCCGGGAGCTGGTTCTCCGCCAGCCCAGGAGAAGCCCCAGGCCTGGTGGAGGGCTTGCCCCGACCCGCTGGGGCTCCCCCTGGGGCTCCCCCTGGGGCCTTGTTCCAGCCGCTGGAAGCCCACAGGGGCTCTGGCGGAGGCCAACAGGAGGGAAGGCCTTCACCCACCCAGGGAGCAGGGCAGCGGAATCGTCAGGGACGCTCTGGGGGCACGGTGCCAAGTGATGGTGAGAGTAGGGACCCAGAGGCTGTGGGGTGACAGCACCCCGCCACCCTCACCTCATACTTTGTGCCCTGCCCCCAAGTCCAGGGCAGAGACCCCCTCCAGTTCTCACACCGTTTCTTGCTTCTTCCAGAGCACAAAGAGTCAAAGGGAGGGTCAGATGGAGAACACCCTGCCAAGGCTCCCCAACAGCTGGGCTCCCCAACGCTGAGTGCAGGAGGCACGTGTGGGGCCCACTTGCCCACTCCTGCCAAAGGCTGCTGGAGCCCCAGGGCCGCCCACCGCCCTCTGTGGCCTCTGCAAAGAGCAGTTAGTGTTCAGCCCCCGGGGCAGGAGAGGCTCCGTACTCCTCACCCGCCCTCACCAGCACCTGGGGTGGGGAGGGAGCCACAGTCTGAACTCGGATGCCAGCCTGACGGTGTGAGGGTTCCATTTTTATGGGGTTCTTGCCTCAGTTGCTTTCTTGGCCAGCTAGACCGTCACCGTGACCCCAGCCCCTGCGGCTGGAGGTCAGCTTTGGAATGCAGGGTCAGGCCAGACCCGCTGGGCGCCTTCCCTCCACCCTGACCTGGACACGGGTGTTCACCCTAGACTGGGCACTTCCTTCTGAATTGTTCTGTGACTTCTGGGGAGGTCATCCCATCCAGGTAGACGACCCTTTTAGAGAGCATGTTTCAACATAGCTGCCCTCCGGGTGCTGAGGCCACAGTTGTGCCGTGCCCAGGTCCCTAAAGCCCAGTCACGCTCAGGCTCGTTTGCTTTCACGGCCCTCTCCTCTGCTCGGTGTGCTTTCTCCCCAGGCAGATCCTCCCCTCTGCATCACTTACTCCCTGCTCGTAGTCCGTGACAGCTTCGGAAAGGTGCAGTTGCTATGGCAATGCCTGGAACTATCTGAGTTCCTACTGCACCTTCTGGAAGAAAAGGGCTTGTGAGGAGCTATTCAGTGGGTCCAAGTCTGGCCTTCCCTGGCCTTGACAGGTCTGTCCAAAGAGGGAGACTCCTCCAGGCTGGAAGTGTGGGAGATAGGTCACCCATCTCCGTAGAGAAGGTTCTCCCATAGCCGTGAGCCACATGCACCTGCATCATAAAACTAAGTGACAGTTTCACCCAGGGCCCCCAGGTGAATCCCATACAACAGATTCGGAATTTCCTGGAATGCTTGTGAGAACATGGATAGCTGGGTGCCACCCCAGGGTTTCTGATTCAGTAGCTCTGGGTGGAGCCAGAGAATTTGCCAGAGAAGTTCTGACAAGCTCCCAGGGTGGTGGCTGCCTTGTTCTCAAAGCACACGTGAGGGTAACTGTTCACGGTTATGAGGTGAGAAGCACCCAACCTGCTGAGAACAGTCATCACTAGGCAGTGGAGAGACCAGAGTCCACTGTCTAAAGGAAGAAACAGAAAAGGGTGTTGGGGTGCTATGCTTTGTTTCAGTTTGGTCCCCAACAATCAACAGACTCCCTGAAGTGAGGGAAAGGGTAACACTGAGTAGGCTGTGAACTTAGAGAAGACCACTATCCCGGACGCCTAGTGGGTCACGCGTGGTCAGTGTCTGAGCAGTGGAGGCCTGGGCCTGCAGGGATAAGGGCACGTCGGCTGTCCCAGGTGCCCAGAGTTGAAGCTTTGACACTAAGTGCTTCCTCCAGTGTGCAAATGCCATATTCCACACTGAATACTCAGGCCCTACTTATCTGAAGCTCCGCCTCCCAATGTGTGACTCCCCTCAGAATCACTCTTAGAGGCCCTGGCTGGATGTTGAGCTTTGCTCCTTGGGGACTGCAGATTGCAGGGACTCTGATGCTTTCTTCACCCACTTAACCCTGCCTAAGAAAATCGTCTGGGTAGTGGTGGGTTTGGGGTCTCCTGCCTTGTGTGTAGGCCGATTGGTGGTTCGTGCTGGTGCCATCTCCCCTCAGCCTCCTACCCTGAGGTGAGGGACGGCTGGGGGTAGGGCCATGGTACAAAGGGCATCACATCAGACTGCCTATCCAGAAGGCCCATTAGTTTGCCAGTTCTCTGAAGGTTTGGTGGGTGGTGACTGCTTTTGCTGTGAAAATACAGAACCCCTGAGAGCGTAAGAGCTAGGCCTTGCTGGGGAGGGGTCCTTTGAAGGAGCAGGTGCCAGGGAGCCCACTTGCACCTCTGAAGTAAACAGGGCCTTGCTGCTGGCCGTAGAGATTAAGAAGGAGCAGAACACCTAGGGTGCGTCTGTCATTTGTGCCAGGAGAGGCTTAAGCTCTAGTGCTGGACACGGGGCCCCTTCCTCAGGTTTCAGGACCCTCGTGGTTCAGGGTAATGCCTGGCCTGAGTGAGAAGTGGTCTTAGTGGAATACTACCAGCCTGAAGGCCATCAGCCTGTGGACAGTGAGGCCATTGCAGGAAGGAGGGACGTGGTCACGCTCAGAATCAGTCTAACCACTGACGGAGAGGTGGTCTCTGGGCAGGGGAATGGGAGCTGAGCCTGGAGGTGCGTACCATAAGCCATGACTGATACCTAGAGGGCCCCGAGGGCCCCGAGGGCCAGGCACACTGCCAGCTGGCGAGTTTTATCATTCATAATCAGCCTGAATCCTCTTCACCCCAACAAGTCGCCTCAACCAGGTTGCAAAAAAAACCTGTTAGAATGTTGGCCTACAGCCACTGCCACACCTTCTAGCGGAGTTCAGAGGCCTGCTGCACACACCTCACTGGAGCCCTCTGCTTACACGGTGCAGGCCACAGGTGCCTTGGTTTTCTGGAGGAAAGCAAAGCCTTAGCTCAGCACCTGACCTGTGGCGGGAGGGACGCGTCTAAGCCAAGGCTTGACATCACCTGGCCTCGGGCTTGTCACTCAGGTGGCCGCTGCTGTGCCGGGGCACTGTGCCACCCAGGCCACAGCCGCGTGTTCTCCCTCCTCACACACCAGGCACTACCCGCTGACTGAGAAGAAATTTGGTCTGGGTCGTGACCCAAAACCTCAAGAAGTCCCCCCACAACTCAAAATCCCAGGCCTGTTGCTCAGGGCCCCCTTTCCATACTCCCTCAAAAAGCAGGTCCAGTGGCCCCCTTTTTTTTTTCCTCCATGAAGCCTGGTACATCTCTTTAGCGCATCAACAGGAACTGCCTGGGTGACGAAGCTGTCTGGCTTGGGCCCTTGCAATGGCTCTCGGCCACCTCCTCGGTGCCTCCAAGCCTGGGCGGTTCTTTTGGAAAATGGAATATCCCCTCCAGCGTGGGGTCCCCTGTCTGCCCACCTCTTCACCCTTTGCCTTCTACCCTGCCTGCCCGACTCAGCAAAGGCCAAGGAGCAGAGCCGCAGCAGCACGAAATGAGGACAGGCCCACTGCATTGCCCCGGAGAGGAGGAGAGAGCTCCAGACGAGGGGGGTGTTTACACTGGGGCACAGCTGAGGACGAGAAAGGGGGGCTGGAGGTCCAGGAGGAGGCAGGCGTGCGTGAATTCTCCTGCTAAGCTCCAGACTTAGGATATTTCTTTCCCGAGCCTTATAGCCACAGCTTGCCAGCCCCAGATTTTGTTCTAATTACAACCCCACTGACTTTCTCCCTTAGCTAGGTAGGGCTGGACAGGTGACGGTGCCTGCTAGACCCAGCCTCGGGCACAGCCAGGCGGTTGGCCTGGGCCCAGAAGGCAGAGGCCTCCTCTCCGGCCCCTCCCGGCTCTCCTCAGCCCACCCACTCCAGACTGGTTTATGGAGCTCCGCTGCAGCCTCAGAGGGGGTTGATGGAATTTCCCCAGGGGTTGTCTGGTTGAAGGAGCTGCTTATCTTCCTGCCTTCAGTCAGCTCTGGAGAGAGGGGGATTAAACTGGGGTCACTGGGAGGCCTCTGGAGGGTGGAGCTGGGTGCGGCCCTTGTTTAACATTTCTGTTTACTCAGGCCTCTACCCTGACCTACCTCAGCCACAGCCCACCACACCTCCTTCCTACCTGGTCTCTTCCTGCCGGGTCTAAGGGTGGAGAT